CCCATCCTACAACTCCCCTGTGACACAGCCACCACCAATGTTCTGTCTGCTGTGACACAGCCAGGACACCACCAGGGCTGGTTCTAGGAGCTGGTGGCTGCCTGTTGTGACATAGCCATGACATCAGCAGGGCTGATGCCGGGAGTTAGTGCTGTATCACTGTGACATGGTTATTATCTTCCATCAGTCAGGCAAGAAGACACAATTAAATAATAAAAATAAATAAATAAAATAAAATAACAGCTGGCAATACTAGGGTGGGAAATTAGGTAGCTGTAGCAACAATTTGAAGAACAGCAAAGGTTAGAAAAGAACTAAAACCAGCAAGTCCTATCCACTGCCCAATTTTAAAGGTTTGTGTGGTACTTGCTGCCGAGATTTGTGGGTTTGAAGACAATTCTGGAAGAAAAATGCGTGTCCTGTTGACTGAAGGTAATATTTCGCACCTTTGGAATTGAAGCCATATGCAGTGCCAAGCCCTGCACCCATGGGTGGCGGGCAGTGCTGAGCGTGGTTTAGCGTGAACTGCAAGACTCGCGTCTTTCTTTCCCTCAAACAAACCAAAGATTTTGCCAGGGACTGTCTTGTGCTACACACTTCAGTGAAATGAGCTAATGTGCTTCACACTAGCGTGAAATGCATGAATTAGCTTCCATCTGCTTGGTTCACTGCAGGCTGTTACATACAGCCTCTTTACTTGACAGGTCCAGAGGCAGTGGGCACAAACTGAAACACAGGAGGTTCCCTCTGAACATCAAAAAACACGATTTTCCTGTGAGGGTGACCGAGCACTGTACTGGGTAGACCTGTTCTCTTTTCCCAAATACTTAAAACAGAAGGATCCTCGAAATCTTAAGTACAAAAACACATACACACACTCTGCATGTGTTCATAGCTCTCACCTGAATCAAAAAATGAATTACCATATTTTGTTGTCTTTTAATGCCCGTGAAATGTGAGAATGTTGCTGCTGAAAGGAACCTTGATAATGAGACGGAATTCTGAAGTTGACCATTTTGGTATTCTAGTGTGTCTTTTTGTTAAGAGCGCTTCCTGTTGCTGCTCATTGTACGTAATTGGCAGTTCTAGTTAAAGGTTTCGGATTTGTAGTTAGAGTGAGGAATATGTTCGAACAAGTTACAGGTTGCTTAATACAATTGACTTCATAAATACTTTAACTTGTGCTTCAAGTTTTCCTAACGGGAATTTGTGCTTTCAGTTTGTAGAGATAAACATTACAGGGAAAAAAGTCTGATTTAGTTTTAACCTTTTTGCTTAAATTTTACAGTGTCTATATGTAAAAAAACATTTTAAAGTGAGAAATGTGTTTTGATACAAGCTTCATCAAGGCAGTATTTAATCACTAAAGCTCATGCTTAAAAACATGTTTCTCACTAGGAAAAATCTTCAGTTGTATGTTGGTATTCCAAAATTCATAGCTTTGGTTAAGTGTAGCTTCTTTATTTGAATTACAATGACAGGGAAACAGAACAATGGAATTTTAAATAAAAATGCTTTTCATTTCATTTAGGCACAATTAGGACTTAACAGAAAACACTGCCCAATTTATTGCTATAGCAGCATCTTTCATTCAGAATGCCATTTCTTAATTTTGGAAAAAGATCATTTAACTGAACTGGATACAAGAATTCTTATACTTGAAAAGTAAGAGTAAAAAAAAGAAAAGCTAAAATATAATAAAGGTTTACAACGAGGGGAGAATAAAGTGTTTTAATGTCAGGGAGAAGCAATGGTGGGTGATTTTATTGTGAATGATAACAAACATATTCTTGAAGCTATGAAGAAATGAAGTGACTCGACAGCTTAGAGGCTGAATTTTAGACAAGTATCGAAGTGGAAGTGTGATTTTCAGTACAGTTTTGGAACTACATTAAATGTAAAATATTACGAAAAGAAAATGGCTATGGACTAAATAAAGACAGTGTCGCTTTTTTCCATTCTTTAAGAAATGGTTCAGGTTGTTCTTTTTTTATTCCTGCTTGTAATTTACATTATTTTTGGTAATATCAGAGACTTACTGTAAAGAGTTTGGATGTGGTAACATCACAATAGACGGGGACTTGCTTGTGAAATAGTACTGGTGGTCAGCTGAGTCTGAAGGCGGGGAGTGGTCACAGCAGTAATGGCAATGCTAATAACGGAGGTGTAAGTAGCAGTGATGAGTTTGAGTTCAGGAGAGATGATGTTAGATTGTGCTTTTATGGAAGGTGTATTGGAACGGTTTTCCAGACACAGAATATTTACATTTTTATCCTTCTTTACATGCTTTTCTTAAAGACTTACCTCTTTTAAAGTTTTCTAGCAAAAAACTAATAGAGGAAAACCCATCCATGTCCAGCCGGTAATCAGTAGCCTGGTTAGTCAGTTGGGCAGAAAGCTGGACATGGAACCAGGCAGTGCCTAGATAGACACCAGGCTATTGATTGCTTTGAGACAGTTCCTTTTTCTTTTCTTGTTTCAAGTAGAATTACATGCTGATCCTTAAAATCCTTGTCCTCATAAGTTTCTTTCAAAACTGATGCATTTCAGTGAAAACCTTCAGTTGCAATAAAAACCACAGTTCCTTCACCACTGTATTCTGTGGGAAAAAATATTTTACAGAGATCACACTTTATAGTTATCTCACTGTAAAATCTCATGCAGATTTATGCACTACTGTGTAATTTTCCGGGGAATATAGGTACATGAGGGTTTACATACTAGGGTGGTAGATACATTGTTGACCTACGTTGACTACATTGCAATAAAAACTGTTAGTGCCTTTACAGAGAAATTGGTGATTACACATGAGTCATGAGGACATAATCTGCCCCTTTCGATAATGAGAATATATTTTGATATTCTTGGGAGACGTACAGACAGGCAAGTTTTCATGGTGTGGTAAGGAACAAAGCAGTTGGATTTGGCAAGACAAACACTTGTCTTTTCAAAACTCAGCAAAATGACCATATATTGCTGAATGAAGAATGGCCATATATTTGAGTATATAGAAAAAAACTGATAGGACAAGAGTAGATAATTTTTGGACAATTAAATAATCTGGAAGATGAGTGTGTGTTACAGATTTTCAATGTCATAATAGGATTCACCAATTGTTCAAGTAAAAGTTTATTGTTCAACAGTAGTGCATAAAAAGTTAGAATGGCAGGGGCAGAAGATCAGAAGAAAAAATAAATGACAAGGTGATAGATAATTTCAAATGGGTTAGGGTGAGATGAGAAGGGTAGAAAAATGTGGGATAAGAAAAGCAAATAGGACTTCCGTAAACATTATGCCTAACCAGGTATATAATATATTTGGGCATTTTGTGTTAAGCTTGTGTTTTATCTTTTCTTTCTCAGTCACATAGAAAAAATTACAACATGGCAAGATCCTCGAAAAACTATGAACCAACCGCTGAATCACATGAGCCACCATCCTGCAGCTACTTCCACACCAATACCACAGAGGTCTATGGCAATGTCTCAGCCAAATCTCGGTGAGTATTGGATGTCATCTCTGTGGTGAAAATACAAAAGAGAGAGGAGAGCCACCTTTTACTAATTTGTTTGCCAAAATAATTTTTGCTTCAAGAAGGGTAGCTCTGATTCTGCTATCAGGCCTAACAGTATGTTCTCCCCTTCTCTTATTTTTCCCCTCTGTAGAGTTGGCAGCAAGTGAATTCGTACTGTTTGAGGTGAAGTTCTAATATCTCATGCATTTTATTTTAGAGCCTTTATGACAGATTTTTTATGTAGTATTGAACATAATATCTCATGCATTTTATTTTAGAGCCTTTGTGACAGATTTTTTATGTAGTATTAAACATCGGAAAATAAGCTCTTCCTGTGCTTTTTCATTCAGAGGTGGTATAAAGCCTCCAGAAGCCCACCGTATAACTTCCAAAGCTTGCTGTGCAAAATGCTGTTAGATACCTGTCTACAGTCTTCCCTGTGTTTCTTCAGGTCAGAGGTTGTAGCTGGTTTGCTTGTTTGTTTGTTTATGGTGGTGGGGTTTTTTTGCATAGTTAGGTTCTGCACTGGAAGTTACTTGCAAAATACTAAAAAGTCTATTCTGCAGTATGAATTACCTAAAGACTTCCTATAATTGGTGTGGTTTCATTGCTGCTCCTGTTCAGCACTTCAAGCTTAAATTTAAGCATCAACTTATGTTCCTCTAATTTTGCCAGATATGAGCCTTAGTGAAAATAAAGCCACGAAAACTCTGAAAATTTTAGAAATGTAAATGGAAGAAAACATTTTCATGTATAATTGAGAATTACAAATAATCCCTAATATTTCACTTCTGCAGTTTTAACTTTTCTACCACTCAAGAAAATGAGGAACAGATAGGTCAGCTTACAGGCTCAAGATCACAAAACTATGTCAAATAGGTAGTCTTAAAAACACAGGCTAGATTCTTGTTCAGGTTAATTTCTGGTAAGTTGGTCTCATGATTTCATGGTTCAGGGCTGTCTTTTCACATACCCAGAAAATGGTAAACACTTGACTGCCAATGGTTACCAACAGCAGTAATGCAATATACATATTTACTTTTGTCTTAAATGTATAATAAACACCTAGGCTGTCCCCTGAGGTAACTAAAACTTCAGTTCTTTCTTCTACCTTTTTCACAACTGTCCTGCTTGAATATATTCAGTAAAATGTTACATGTTATATGATGTAGCAGACAGTAGCAAATTGTATCATGAGAGTGGATATCTGAAGAAGAAACCCGAGTAAAATCCAAAAGGTTAGGGTGTACTGCAGTGTGTCATACTACATGGTAAAACTAACAATTGCTCTGTGCGTGTTACTTCAACCACAGCTGCCTTTAGGTCAGTCTGTTTATAGGAATTCTGAAATGGCCAAGAGGTGAGCATAGGACAGTGGGGTTTTTTGTTCATACGAACTCCTTAGTTTATTTTGACAGCTGTTACATTCTCTCTGATTAAAAAACAAAGGAGGTACCATAAATCAAGACAGTGTACAGCAAGCTTTTTCCCCCAGTTTGTCAGTGGAAGTAAATCAAAGCCAAATCCTGTACTGAAACACTTGTATACTGAATTTTAGAGGAGGGTCTTTCTCAAGATGAAAAGGATTAGAAATAAAAGCATACACCTAATTAAGAGTCTGTTCTTGAAGGGACTTCAGGTGCCCAACAGGGGCATTTCCATAGACTTCAAAATCTGTCGCATCAAATACAGACTATATTTCATTCAGTGCCCTTCACATTTATAGATGAGGTTCCACTTTTTAAGGTAGGTATTTATACAGTGCTTAGCATAGTGGTTCAGATCTGTAACTGAATTTCCTGAATGTTAGCCCACTAGAAATAGTATGTAAAAATTTCTGCAGTGTCCATATTTATTTAATTGAGAAAATATTTTGTTAGTTTGTTTTGGTGAACTTTTTCTCATTCTGGTGGCTTTTGAAAGGCATGCTGTGACACTTTGGGAGCAAGCAAATCTGTTTGCACAGCTGAGTAGCACTTTCAGCACCGTATTATTAAATTCAGCATCACAGCCCCTGATTTTCCAATCCCCCTGTTTGAACACACCAAGTGTGACACTCTTTTATTTAAAAATATATTGAAAAAGATTTAATCTAGGAACTGTGCCTATATATACACATATATACACACACAGAAATTACAAGATTGCAGTAATCTGAACAGAATAGAGTAACCTCTGAATACTTCATGTGACAGTTTAAAATACATGTGAGTGCAGTTTGCAGTACTAAAGTAGAATGTCTGTATTTTGAAATTCTCTTGGCCAAAAGGAAGGGCCTTTCTGCACTTGTGTGATGCTAACAGTGTTACTGCTAAATCTGCTTTCTTGGGTCTGCTCAGACATTGAAGTGAGCAATTTGTTGGTCTGGCAGGCAGACCTCTAAGCCAGAAGTGATTGTGCCAACATCTTGCAGACATCAGAGGAGAAATGGAAACTGGATACCAAGTTAAGCCACTCTTCTGGCCAGAATTTTGTAACTTTTTAGCAAATGAAGTCTACGCATCTGTCTTTTGCCTTAGTGTTTTTTTGGTACTGTAGGAATTAAAAGAAGTTTTTCTTTTGAAGATGTGCCACTTAAAAGAAAAGGATTTAAGTATTCCAGGTCTGCATACTGGTCTGCACTTCCAATTACTAACACATGTGTTTTCCTTGCTATGCTTCTTATGAAGAGATGGAAAATACAGTCTGTTCTGTACAGCTTGTTGCTTTGGTTTATAAACTCCTTTCAGCAATATTTGCTGGGAAGTGTACAAAAGGCATTTAGAAACATTCTATCAAAAGCACAGAGTGTGACTGAGTGATACCAAATCGTAGTATGCCTATGCCTGAGACACACAGAAACATATAGTGAAAGTTGATTGAAATTAGTAGACATACCTTACAAAATCTGCTTATTCTCCTACCTTTTTTCTCACTGTGGTTCTATGTTGCCTGTTTATGAGCTACACATACTGGTTTCCTTTTAACTTCAGCAGTGTTAGTTTTCTCACTAACATTTAAAGCATTGCTTTTTAAATGTTACGTAACAAAGGCATCTGAAAGTATTTCTTCCTTCGATGCATCTTGTTAAATTTACAGAAAACTAATACACGCTAGGCAGGTTTCTATGCTCACTTACACACCACCACTAAATGCAGTGAAGCCATTCAATGAATGAAAAGGGAAATTTGTCCCAGAGATTGAAAGCATATTGTTGCAGGTTAGCATATATTCAAACTTGTTCGGTATGTTTTTCTAAATATTTTACCTTTGTTGTTCTTCTAAGACAGTTTGTAGATGGATATACTAAGGAAAGGACAACATTAATAGGAATATTTTAACTATATATTTTGTTGTTGGAATCCAACAGGGAAAATGATCAGCCTCTGACTGAAGACAATGAGAAAACACTGTATTTCTTGCATAAGTGCTTCATAAATCCCATTTACTTTGGTGCTGAATCTGCACATGTATTAGTTTTCTGCCCATTCTGAAACAGTCTTTTTTAGCTGATAGATAAAGTATTAACTATCTATTGCCAGTCAACTCCATTATTGTGGTCGAATCAAAGACTGTATAAGGAGGGGTATTTGTACACCTTTATTTTAGGCATCTAACCTAGGTCCCTGAATTAGGAGACCAAGCTCCATGGACTTCTGTGAATGAAAGGAAGGAGAGAGCAGTTGCAGTGCACCTAAGCTAATGGTCAAACTACTGCTTGACTTAAATGACTAAATTGTTCTCTGGAAGTGCCTAAGTCCAAGCTAGGGAAGCTGTTCTGCCTTAATGGCAGTCACTGGTGTAAGAAGATTGGGGAGTATGGTTTTTGGCTATGTGTAGCAAGATTTAGGGGAAAAAATCAGATCCTTGTAAAAGTTTCTTTTGCAACAATTTTTAATTATATGCTGCTTTTTTGTAGTCTTTCTCTATTCTACATTTTGCAACAGTCAAAACCATTGTTATTTTCATCCAGCTCCCTTCAAACTGTTTTAAAGAGATTTCTTTTGTGATTGTACTCTTCATCCAGTTGGTGAGCACAATCTGGTCTTCATTTAAATGTTTTTCAAGTTTAACAGATTGCAACTTATTTTGACATAAAGTAATAAAATCCTCTGATAGTATTTATGTTATCTGTATAAATTAGCTTTAACTTATATGCGCAAGCTCTTACAAAAAATCTGGACTCTATCTGCAAAAAGCCTCAGAGGACCTTCTGTGCAAAGTGGCATACATCATGGTACAGTCAGTTGTAGAATTTAGGCCTTACAGCAAATACCAGTTGCAGACTGCACGGGCCAGTTATGCTAAGTCCTGTATGAGTGACAAAGCTGTGTGTTAAGTAATGCCCAGAGTTTGGTGGTTTGAGAGTTTTGGGAACTCTGCCACTTTGTAAAATGCCTTTGAGTTTTTTTGGGCGTGGATAGGGGCTTTCGATTTATGTAACTAGAAACTGTGGTTAAAGTGTGTGTTTGGTCTAACTAAACTCACTGAAGTCCAACCAGGCTGGACGTCCCTGATGCTCCCTGGTGCCTGGCTACCACTGTTATCTTTGCCTTCCTCTTCACAGTGGACAGCCCAGCATCAGCAATAACAGAAACGCATACCTGATTTTACCACTTTGCATTTTCCACTTCTGGTACACAAGAGAACTTGTGCGACTCATCAGTCTTTGCATAGGGATGTGATTGATGGGTGGACAGGCTTTTAAAAGCTGCATTCATGTATGAGCTGGCTGTCAGGGAAGAAGTGACGAGGAGTGAAGCAAAGAGACGAGCAGAGCTATGTTTGTGTAAATCCCTTATGCATTAAAGCTGAGCCATCTTCTCTTACCCTATCTGTTTTTTCCCTCATAATCTTATTATTTTCCACGTAAGTTTGTACGAGATGATCTTTCGAGGTGCCTTCCAACGTGGGCTGTTCTATGATGATGGTTGATAACTTGATAATTTCGTAACTTGTAAATTATTGTCTTAGTGCATAGTGTCTATTGGCCCAGCTAATCTTGC